CAATATGACCGATGCAACTTATGAAAAAGTTCGTTCATTTAGTAATACTAGTGATGTTTGGCTAGAACTTCATAGATTGTATGATGAAGTTAATGAAGATAAAGCATACAATTTATGCATAAAGTTCTGGATGAAAGTGATGATGTTGTCTCTCATGTTACAAAACTCAAAAATCTTTGAAAAGATTTAAAGGTTGAGTTAGGAAAAGATGAAAACAGTAATTTATTGCTGATGTGTCAAGTAATTGAGAATTTGCGGGAAAAATTTTTCATTTCCTGCATGTTGGAGATTGTTAAACAAGATTGAAAGAACAGTTGAAACACTCACAGATCAATTGTGTAGTTATGAAAGATCCTTAGAAGGCAAAACTGAAAGTAATAACGTATTATTTGTCAAAGCAAAAAGTGAAAAGTCATCTTAAAACTTGAAAGGTCATAAACAAGATAAATTTGTCAGCAAATCAAAGCGGCTGATATGTCATAACTGCAAATTGCCAGGTCACATTGTAAGAAATTGTGAAAAATGGCATTCCGATGGAAAACCAGCAAAACCAAGAAATAATCTACGCGATGACAATAAGAAATCACTAGTTGTTATGGAATCAAATGTTTTTGAAATTAATGAGTCAGCGTACACTGTCATCTAACTTTCCAAAGAGACATATATCAAAGTTTTAAAAAATTTTCTCAACCGAGTAAAATATTTGTTGCAAATGGTGATACTGCAAAAGCTTTTGGAAAAAGAATAGTTCATCTTCAAGTGAAAGTGAATAATAAATGGCAAACGGTTAAACTCATGTGTCTGGTATGTGCCAAAAGTAAAAAAAAAACTTGTTCTCCGTACTGTCAACTCAAGATAAGAACAGAAATAGCTCTTTTGTTTCAACATCAAGAAGTTGTCTTCTACTTATTGACAATTTGATAAATGTTGCTGGAATAAGAAACAACAATGGAGGTTTGTTCAAACTTGTAGCAAAAACTGTTAGGCAGTTGAATTCTGAAGTTGAAGTTAACTTTGTCAATGATCAAGATGCTTTGCAGTTATACCTTAAACGAATGGGACATCAGAATAAGAAGCATGTTAAAATGATCATGAAACGTGAATTAAACATCGATATACCCGGAGACAGTGAATTATGTGAAGGATGAGTCTATCGAAAGTAACATCGATTGAAATTTGGAACTCGAGTAAAAGCATCAAGACCAGGAGAATTAATTCACACTGATGTATGTGGTTTTTTTCCTTCTCATTTCAAAATTTCAGATACTTTGTCTTGTTCAAAGATGACTACACAGGCTACAGATGTGTTTACCTTGTAAAACAAAAATTAGATGTACCAGAAAGACTAAGACAAATGTCTGCAGAGTTAAGATCAGCTGGTCATAAAGTCTCAGAAGTATTAAGTGACAATGGAGGTGACATTGGCAACAAAGAAGTCAGATCAATTTTGCAAAAAGAACGTGTTAGACAACGCCTAACTATGCCTTATACACTTCAGCAGAATGTTTGCAGTGAAAGTGATAATCGAACGCTAGTTGAAGCAGCAAGAATGAGTTAATACTGCTGCTTACATACTCAACCAAACTGGATCATCTTCTGTAGAAGGAAAATCGCCATATAAATTGTGGTTTAACAAAAAATCTGATAATACATCTACGAATCATTGGCAGCACAGCCTTTGTTCATATTCCTATGCAGAAACGACAAAAAATGGATACTAAAGCTGTAAAGGGTATTCTCGTTGGATATGAAGGTGACGATGGCTACAGAATTTTTGTTCAACCAGGAAATAAAATGTTTCGATCAAGAGATGTTATTTTTGACGAAAAGGTTGTCAAACCAAATTCAGTAATTTTGCAAGAAGAAAGTGGTTCAGATGATACAGTTTCGATTGATGGTGAAATCAAAAATGATAATAAAGAAACTTTGATGAAAGAAAGTCTTTCAACTGATGAAGATGTTCACAACCGTAGTTTAGTTTCATCTGATGAAGAAGATCAATCTGATTGTTGTAATCAAAATACCAAAGGTATGGTTTTACGTGACAGAAATAATATCAAAAAGCCATCTCGTTATGATCCTTTTATATGTCTGCATTATGTGAAGCCAAGAACCAGGAAGCTACAAAGATGTCATTCAAAGTGATGAAAAAGATGAATGGTTTAAAGCCATGAACATGAACAGCGAAATGCTTTTGCTCTAGAGGAAAATCAAACGTGGGATTTGGTAAATCTTCCAAAAAGTCATAAGGCAATACCATGCAAATGGGTTTACAAAGTAAAACACAATCCAGATGGTTCTGTTGAACGTTTTAAAGCCAGGCTAGTGGTAAAAGGTTTTTCGCAGAAAAAAGGAATTTACTATGAAGAAACCTATAGTCCTGTAGTCAGAAGCTCAACTATAAGAACACTATTAAGTGTTGCTGCAAATAAAAAGTTGTCACTCATACAGTTTGATGTGTCTGCAGCATTTTTATACAGCAAACTAGATGAAAATATCTAAATGGAGCAATCTGAATTTTTTAAAGATAATTCAGGAAGAGTCTGTAAACTCACGCAAAGTCTCTATAGATTTAAACAAGCTCCAAGATGTTGGAACAAACGCTTTGCTGAATTCTTGAAAAAGGGACATTTCAAACAAAGCGATGCAGATACTTGTTTGTTCATTAGAATACAGGAAGGAAAGAAACTCATACTTGCACTGTATGTCTAAACAAGCAAATTATATTTAAGTTGTCAAATATGATGAAAACACCATCATGTCTCAAAATATTTCAAAGCATCTCTTCTGAAACACTTCAGGAGCTGCTAGGAGCTGCCCATATTCCAAAATGGGACCCGGCAAAAAAAGAACCTTCCAAAAAGTGTATTTTTTCAGCATCTAATTTTATCTGCCAAAACCCTTCCTTAATGTCTACAATGGTGAATAGCTTTTTTCCATAAAGCTTTTTTCCATGTCTTCACAAGTTGGTCTTACAAAATGTTCTCTTTTTATTATTTTATTGAGATTTCTAAAATCGAGGCATAATTTTAATGATACATCATTTTTTGTCAATAAGCAAGCTGTTTACCCAATCTGCTGGCATATTTTTTTAATTATTCCATTTTTTTAACAAACCATCCAATTTCTTCTTGAGTTTTGGTTGTAATGCCAGTGGTACCCGTCTTGGTGGATGAACTACTGGTTGTACTGATGGATTTGCCGTAATATGATGCCTTTTAGAGAGACAACCAGAAAATTCATCTGGTATCCGTGCCGACTATTTTTTACTATATTGATATCTGCAGCAACGACTTGGCATAAAAATTTTAATTTTCTGCATGATGGCGTGTGAGGGCGTTGCCATCAATTCTATAAAATTCAAGATTTTCTTATCTGCCTTTGACCTCTGTTTGAAGCATCAATTTCCCCAATAGCTGAATTCTTCCGTTGCCGTATGGCTTAACCCTTAAACACCAACATGGGTCTTTTCGACCCATGCACACTTTTTAAAAAATCATATTTTGCTTATTTTTTAATCTAACAATTTTTAATTTTTTGACTTTGTCTAATTTTTTATAAGCTTTTCATAAATTTAGCTTGATTTTAAATAATCAGATATTTTGTATATAAAAACAGTCTTCACAAGATGTGTGTTTACGTTCGCGACCGAATGGGTCGAAATGACCCATGTGAATAAAATTGAAACGATATTATAATATTGAACATTTTATTGATTTTAAACACCAAATTTACATAAAATAAACATTTTATTATATTCAAGTATCAAATTTATATAAAATTAACAGTCATGACATTGGTAATTGACACAGTTGATGCATAATGGATTCAAACATTTGTTGCAACGTTGGACCGTTTTGTTTGAAACGCATTTTCTACATCTCAACCGTTTTCCAGATTTAGCAGATGATTGACATTCAGGTGCTAACTGAGATTGGATCAACTTTATATTTCCATCGTCATCAATTTTCCCACCGAATAATTCTGCTCCCAAACTTTTTAAAAATTGCTTTCTGTTTTTATGTCCAATAACTTCTTGCCAAAGGATGAATGAATTATACGCAGTGACGTCCACCATGTGTTGAAAAACACATTTTGGCCAACGAAAGGTTTGCTTTCGAGTAGTGTACATTGCGCACATTTGATCTAAATGATCAACTCCTCCTTTACCTTTGTTGTAAACTAATATTATTTCTGGTTTTTTTACTTTGGTCATCTATTTCTTTGTTACTGTGCTCACTTGACAGTAAAACTACTCTTTTGTTTTTTTTGGTGCATAAGAAACTAGGGTTGCTCAGGTAAAAAACCAAATAAAGAGGTGCCACCTTCGCTATTTTTCTTTACAAATTCTGGTGGCAGTTCTCTCCGATTTTTAAGAATGGTTCCAATGACTCCTAAATTACGATTCCAAAGATGTAAAAAAATTGTCCATAACAACGGTTCTGCCAATGTCTAAGTTCTCCGTCAAATCTAACACTACTTGCTTTCCTAAATTTTTTGCCCGCGCTGCTCCATTATCTGTGCCTAAATACGGTTTCATTTTCAAGCAGTAGCCGGTTTTGGCATCAAATAAACACCAAAACTTCAAGCCATATTTTGCAGGTTTGGAAGGCATATATTGTTTGAAACTGCAGCGGCCTCTGAATGGTACAAGTGTTTCATCTACGGTTACATACTCATATGGAATAAATGGTTTTCCAAGATTCTCTTGCCATATGTCAAACACCACACCCATCGGTGCAAACTTTGATAGTTTACTTCAAGCACTTCGGCTGCTAGTAAAATCAAATCTAATAAATTTTGTCATTTCTTCAAATCTAGTCCTTGACATAAATTGTCTGATGCATTGTCGGCTTTCTAACTTTGACCAAAGTGCACGCACGGGTTCTCCTTTCTCTTTATATAACCCAACTAAAATATTTTCACCTATGAAAGTGTTGATTTCCTCTCTGTTCGTAACAAAATTGGCACCCAAACTAGCAGCTTTGTCGTTAGTGCAATCAACAATTATATCGATCAGAGAATTGTCCATGAAAATCTGCCAAATAGAGAGCAGTATTGGTGCAATGACGACGTCCGTAAGCACTCAGTCCTCCAGCTGCTCTCAATACATTCACAGACTGTCTTCTCCCAGTCAAATAAGGCTTAGAATTCCACTCAGTGCCGTCTGCACTTATATATGCTCCACAAATTCTTTCAATTACCGAATCAATACATTCATATATATGCCTTTCCATATCAGTTGTCATCAAACATGAACCACTATTAGAATCATCCTCACAAAAATTACAAGCCAGGATGTCATCATCATTTCTGTTATTTCCATTTTTTTCCTCATCTGCAAACTTTCCAGCATGAAATTTCTCTTCTAAGTCATATTCAACAGACCTGATTGATGTTGATGACAAACTGGACATTGAATCTACATTTTCATTATTTTTATATTCAGCACCCGAGAGGTTACCCAGACTTTCAATTCCACTTTCATCATCATTATCATCATCATCATCATCATCATCATCAAGGATAATATCTAAAGCTTCTTGAGCAAAAACGCGACGAGACATAATCATATTTATTTTTAATTTGATACAGAAAGAAAAATGTATGATTGATATAAACAAGTTTAACATATCCTGCCGCAAAAAGGAAATTTAAGTATTTAAATTTTTAACGTTTTAAAAGTAATTTTTAAAAATTTTTAATAACTTATTGTTTAAAGTTATTGCTAAATTTAATTTGTTTGTAATTAAGAATATTTTTATTAATTTTTTGTGGCAAAAAAACGATTTTTATGTACCGTGGGTCGATTCGACCCATAACGACTTCAACGTTTTTTTTTCTTCGGTGTTTAAGGGTTAAGGTTGGTCTTTAGTAGCTTTGGTCTTTTATAAAGCTGTTTGAAAACCGCGATTGAGATGACATGTGTCCCAGCCCTAGTGTTTAACTTGCAACTGACTTTAGAACTATTAATTTCCAGTTCTTTCCACCACTAATTTTGTTAATTCACAGTACAAGTTTTTTTTAAGAACTTTAATTGATGATTGAGATGATGGTAAGGCTGAACGTGAAGGATAGTTTTTTTTATCTGTTAGACTAATTAGAAGCTTTGCACCTGCTACAAAAATGATTTTGCTTACAAGATTTTTAGCACTATTTTCCAAATGCTGGACATTTTCTTTGTAGATGATTTGTTCCGCATTTTCACAGCCATGTTTTTTCACTTTGTCATGATAATTTTGGTTTTGACGCTTGTCAGATTTTACCCGTCTTTTTGATTGTTTTCAACTGTTTTTAAGTAACCTGAGCAAAATGTAACCTAACTGAATTGATTATGTAAGAGACAATTCTGGTTCACTCAACAATTTTTCGTGAATGCGTCTATATCGCAACCCAAGACTACTCGATCGCGAATTAGTAATTCTTCCTTTTTACCAAATTCACATGTTTTGGCGCGGAGACGTAATGGGGTGACAAATGAATCGACTGGCTCACCGGTGGCTTGTGAGATTTTTCTAAATTGAAACTTTTTAAATTAAACAAAACGTTTTTGTCGTGACGAGCCGTACTCCTGAAATTTTGCTTTCACCATAGTTATTTTCTATTTGTCCTCCAGTGGGGTCATAGGTAAATGTATTGTAAATGTTAAATCCTTTGCCACTAATCGAACTCAAAAACTGATCCAATCGGGAAACAAGAAGAAAAACATCAAACTTTTGCAGCCAAACTTCCAGGTTGCCACCATTGAACCTTAATTAAGGCTATAGGCGGTTGGAAGTTTTTCCAAGCGTCTGACATATGTCATTTATTTTATTTCATTACAAAATGTTATCGACTGTCGACTGCGCCATGTAATATTTGATATTAATTTATTATATTGTCAAAATAGGAAATATGAAAAACAAAACATTAGTGAAGTTTTCATAGCTTGTTTATAAAGCATCCAAAAATTCTTAATGTTCAAGATAAATACGTATAAAAATAATAACGCGACATGACAGAAAATAGATGAGTGAGCATACAGTAAAATTCGTTAAATAATTAAAAAAAACATTCGAACTATTAAAATTTATTTATTTGTAGTTTACTTCTATTATTTATATCTATTATTTAATTTTAATCGTTAATTAAGTTATTAATTTAAATGAGTTGGCTGGTTAGTTCTTGCATTGTCATCGAAAAACTTTACTCACTGCATTCATTGTTAATATTTTAAATTTATTCACTTAAGCATATTTGTAAAAAAAAACACTACACTTTGAGATTTTACGTTTCTTCATAATATTTTACTATAGGAGCATGTTCGTAAAGTCAATTATTTTGAATAAAGTTTGATTAATTAATTAAATAATTCATCTAATTCAACGCTTTTTGGATAACTTATTTCAAAATATACTTCTATATATATTCTATTAATAATACTTTCCCTAAAAGTTTCAGCTGGTTAGGTGCTTCAGAATTGGCTAAAAATTGTAAATTAGAACATCACATGGCAAAATGACAGAAAGACAAGTATGTAAAATGAAAAAAGAAAGAAAAAAAATGTTTACATCTAACGCATTCAGCGCTTTTTCCAAATATCTTTTCCATGTAATAATAATTATTCATCTTACACACTGTTCCCCGAGGGCAGGGATTTTGCTGAAAACATGAATAAATTTTGTAATTTTTTTGAACACTAAATTGAAATCATTGTGAAAATTCAACATTTTTGACAAAAAACTTTAAAACATACAATATAAAATTGCAATACCCGTAGAAGACAGCGTGTAACACAGAAAAAGCATTGGCACCCAGCAGGGAAATTGTACAAGTGCACAAATTCATGGCATGTTGATGGATCGTTGAATTGATGCGGTTTAGGACACACTGGACACTGATCTTGTAGTATATATATATATATATATATATATATATGTATATATATATATATATATATACATATATATATATCAAATCAAATTTATTCAATCAATCCAAATTAATAATAATTAGGTAATGATTAGGAGACCAAAGCTAAAAGAAAACAAAATTCTTGTGTCGCAGGCCACCGTTCACTAATTGTTCATTCTAACATGATTTTTAAGTAAATTTATAATTCATGACAAAATTAACATAATGCACAATTTACATGATTCTAATTAAATAAAAATTGTACTTTTTTTTCAATAAATATTTCTTTATTTTATTTTTAAACAAATGCAAGGAATTTGTAGTCTTTATATCAACAGGAAGTTTCTCCCAGATTCCGGAACCGGTATTTTTTAAACTTTCACCAAGCAGTGTTATTCTTGCAGGTGGTGTATAGAGCAGAGGAGAATGTCGAGTGAACTTTGACTGCACAGCATTTCCAAATTCGAAGAAGTCATTAAAAGATGTTGGTGATTGATAATGTAGGAACTTGAACACAAAGATAGAAACATGATAATTATACAAATTTTTTAAGTTTAGAATTTTCAGTTCAGGATAATAACATCTGACATGACTATATGGATGTAGATTTAATAGAATTCTGATGAAGCGATTTTGACATCTGGTAATTTGCTTCAAGTGAACTTCAGGGCTGTTTCCCCAGATGATGTTGCAGTATATTACATGTGGATAGATTAATGAATAATACAAATCTAAAATTATTGGTTTATTCATTTTTACTTTAATTTTATTAATTGCGTCTATGGTTTTATTAATTTTTTTCGATAACGAGTCTATATGCATATCCCACGAGAGGTTGTCCTTGATTATCACTCCGAGAAATTTTGTGCTGGATGTGCGTGGGATGCCATGGTTATTCATTTTTATATCTAAATTAGGTATTGTGTTAGTCAATATTTTTGGACCGATTAGAATGTAGTTGCATTAAAAAAAATTTACAATTAGTTTATTATTGATGAACCAATTTGAAACATCATCTAAACTTTTATTAATTATCTCTACATCGTTTGATGGATTGCTAGTTGGGAAGAAAATGTTAGTATCATCTGCATACAGAAGATGATGAGCGTCAGTAGCCAGATGAAAATCATTCATAAAAATTATAAATAGAAGTGGGCCTAAGATTGATCCTTGCGGGACTCCTGAAGTTATATTTAATTTATTTGAAGATTTATTTTTTATCGACACATACTGATTTCTTTTTTGCAGATAGCTTATGAACCATGTATGTGCTATTTCTCTTATTCCATAGGAGTATAATTTTTTTATTAATATCTCAAGTCTATGGACAAGTCTATGAAAACACCTATGGTTAGGATTTTTTTATTCAAATTATTTAATATGTTTTGTACTAAATGCAGTACTGCTAGTTCAGTTGAATGTTGTGCTCTATATCCATATTGATTTTTATTTAATAAATTATTAATATTCAAGAATGAAGTTATTCTAATAAATATAATTTTTTCCAGTACTTTAGAAATAGGTGAAAGAAGGAATATTGGCCTGTAATTGCTCATTTCCATCTTGGATCCTTTTATATAAATAGGTATTATCTTGGATGTTTTGAAACATTTTGGGAATATTCCTTGACTGATGGACAAATTGAATATATGTGTTATTGGATGTAAAATTTTTGAGATGATATATATATATATATAGCACCACTCTGTTTATGCATCGTAAGCCTTCTAGTCAGTGAGGTAGTAGTTATCCCGATACATAAGTCATGTTGACGTGCACAGCCGTCAAAGGGGCAATTAAATTCATATATTACGTGGTTACGCTTTAACACAGAGTTATCTCTAGGACTACAGTTGTTTTTCAGTATTAGGTGAGACTTCTTTTTATTGTTGTAATAAATTCGGAGTTTAACTTTACTATTTGGGTTGGTCGGTGTGACATTTTTATTGATGATATGTCTAAGAATAGCTTCATCTACTTTGTATGCAGTTGACATGTGATTTCTGTAATACAAGATGATGTCGTTATCTTGATTGTTGGTATTAGGTTATTGTTGTGTAGTAATTTGCCTTTAACAATCTTTTCAATAGAATAAGTCTTATATCTATTGTTTACAAGCAGGTTGGTGACTCTTTTTAATTCAGCGTCGCGATTTTCAATATCGGAAAAGTGTGTGAATGCCCGGTTTACAAATGATTTTATTGTGCTGTCTTTAAATTGTTCGGTACATTCACTTTGTCCATTCAAACAAATTCTTGTATTTGTTTCTTTGACATAGACCGCAGTTTTGAATCGTTCTTCGCCATGGGTGACCAACACATCGAAGAAAGGTAAACGCAGTTCCTTTTTAATTTCAATGGTAAATCTTAATTTTGATTTGTTTAAGGTACCAAGAAGTTGAGTGATTTTTCAGGATCGTTATAGGAGACAAGATATCATCAACGTATCTAGCCAATGAAGAAACCTGACACCTAATTTCCATCTAAGTTTACTTTGACAAAGTGAATAGTTCCCTATATAAACTAAATCGCACTGATGATGATTCATTCGGAATCGAAATATGGCCTTATTTGCAGCATGAATTCGGAAAATAAGCTTATTTTGAATTTTAAAAAACTAAACATTCACTAAAAGACTTTAATGAGAAAAATCGGAAAAACGAACCAATATACTAACGCCAAACATTCGGTAGAATTTATAGAATATTGTAATATTCAAACAAAACTTGCAGGAGTTTGTTGATAAACTTTGAAAAGTATTATATATATATATATATATATATTATTTATTTTCTTATATATATATATATTTACTTATTTTCTTATATATATATATATAAGATATATATGTATATATATAAGATACTTTTCAAAGTTTATCAACAAACTCCTGCAAGTTTTGTTTGAATATTTTAAGGGTTTACAAGTCATATTTGAATATTTTACGATATAATGTCGGCAAAATTTTAGTGATTTTTTTTTAATCTCTAATCTTTCATTCATTTCTAAAGTCATTGAACGAGTTGTTATCAAACAATTGTTACAGCATTTAAACAAAAACAATTTGTTACCAAAAAACCAATCCGGCTATCGCCAATATTTTTCCACAGAAACTGCACTCATTGATATTTTCTCCCAGTTGTTCTCTTCAATTGACAGTCAAGCGTTTCTTTTTTGGCATTATTTGATATGAGTGCTGCATTTGATTGTGTCGATCATACTCGTCTCATGTATAAACTCTCCACAAATTTTTTTCTCTTTGAATCAGTCTTATCAGGTTTCTTACAACCACACTCTCTCTGTCCTGTTGATTCGATTGACGCTTCTCTTAATAAACTGATTGATTGTTTTATCGAAATTAGCTCTTGGATGAGTATGAATTAGTTAAAGTTAAATCAATCTAAGGCACAAATATTACCGGTTGGTTCATGGCAGCAGTTGTCAAAGGTCAAAATTTCATCAATAGGTATTGGCAATGACATCATTGATTTTTCTACATCTGTCCGTAGTTTTAGAGTTGTTATTGACTCAAACCTAAAAATGGATTTACATATTATTAATTTAGTGAAGGTCTGCTCCAACCAACTGCATTTATTACGCAATGTCAAGCGCCAACACGTCTGTTCTTCAAAGTTTGATTTCCTCTTTGGTTTTTTTCCAGACCAGACTATTACAATGGTTTTTTTTATGGTGTCACAAAAGGTCTTTTTCAAAACTTCAGTCAATACAAAATTATGCGGCCAAGCTGGTTTTGGGTGGTTCGTGGTTCGATCATGTTACGCCTATTTTGAATGTTACACTGGTTGAGGGTTGAAAAACGTGTTTTTTTCAAGTTAGCTGTTTTGATGTTTAAATGTGTCAATAATGCAGCACTTCCCTATCTCATTGATAGATTGGAATCATACAAATCTCATTCCTTCCGATCAATCGAGCGCAATTTATTTTTTATCCCGACTACAAAGTTAGCGACAGGTTATCGCAACTTTGCGGTTCTTGGTCCGGCTGTTTGGAATGGTTTACCTCCTTACTTACGTGACCCTAACCTACCATATTTACATTTTCGAAGTCAGCTTAAAACTTATTTATTTGCACAATGAACGTCCGTCTTATTTGTCTATGATTCAGTAGCGCTTTTGAGTTTCAACAATTAAAAAGCTCTTTACATAAATTTCCGTAATAATAATAATATATATGTTGGTAATAAACCATAATTTTTACAATATTTTATAAATTCTACCGAATGTTTGGCCTTAATCGAACTACAAACATATTAACACCAAACATTCGGTAAAATTTATAGAATATTGTAAATATTATTATTATTATTACAAGTCAATTTGTACAGCGCTAATTACAAAAAAGATCTCAAAAGCGCTCCATAAAATAAATGAACAAACAAAACATTAATCAAACGAAAACAAAAACATTGTTAATTTTGCGAAAATAAATGAGTCTCCTTTTTAAACAAAAAACAATGATAGATCTGGTCTTCTTAGAAATGCCGGTAGACTGTTCCAAACCACCGGTCCAGCAACAGCAATATTGCGTGATCCGGTCTGTAAATTAGTTGTCGGCACAACCAGGAGGTTCATGACATTTGATCTCAACTGCGAACCTAAAACAGATGTTTTTCTGATGAACATGTCTGCCAAATACTTTGGTGCTAAACCATGTAATGACCGAAACGCTAAGACAATTATTTTGAAAATTATTTTTTTTTCAATTTTTAGCCAGTGTAGGTCATTCAAGATTGGAGTCACGTGATCGAACTTCAGATTTTTTGTGACAAGTTTTGCAGCTCGATTTTGAATAGACTGAAGTACAGCTATTGACTTGTCATGTATTTTAAAGTATAAACTGTTACAATAATCTAATCTGGATGTAATAAAAGCATGTACCAGTGTTTCCATGGCAGATCTGTTTAAATAGTGTCAAATCTTGTACAATTTTCTGAAATGCATCATACTTGCAATTGATAGCGACTTTATTTGATCTTTCATTGAGAGCCTGCTATCCAACCATAACCCCAAATTCAAGGCTATAGAAGCAAATGATACTTCAACGTCACCAACTTCAACCGAGTTTATATTAAGTCTTGACAATTGCTGCCATGTACCGACAGGAAGCATCTGAGTTTTAACCGGTTCAACCTCAAGGAATTGCTCAACATCCAACGTTCAATCTCCATCAAACAACCAACAAGTTTATCAATCTCGGGCTGAAATGTCTTCGGATGACCTATAGCAACTATCTGTATGTCATCTGCACACGCATCACCAACAAGTCCATGCGACATTATTATTTTAATTATATCCAATGTAAAGAGTAAAAACAAAACTTGTCCTAGCACTGATCCCTAAGGAACACCCGTTGTTACCCCCTTGACAGATGATAAGACTTTTCTAAACAAAACCTGCTGAGTTCTACCCGTTAGATAGATATTATTCAAATCAGGCGAGTACCGTTCCTGAAAATATATATATATATATATATATATATATATATATATATATGCTACATATATAGTATAAAGATATAGTTTGTATTAACACATACTTATATATACACATACGCACACATATATATTAGGTATAAGACCATTACCTATTATCCATTAAATTATATCGCTATAGTATTGTTAAAACCGTCACAAATATATTTACTAGAGGCGCTAGTGTCGCTACGAACGCATACAGTTCAAGGGGAAACTAGAACCTTCTGACGGCGAGATATCTAGGACGTTCGAGAAGCGTCAGTAAAACGAGTATATAAAGGCATACGAGATATTGAATGGTGGTTGTTTAATATTTGATATTGGAAAGCAATTGATTGTTAGTGTTGAAAGCGATATTTAATATTTCACTTTGCGTTGTATTTTTATTGTATTTGCGATAAACGTTAGTGAATTGTTATTCGGAAAGCGATAGTTTCTGAACGTTAATTTAATAGTTTGTGAAATAAACTTTTATTAGTAAAATTAATTAACGTTGATTATTGAATAATTAATAGACTAATTTTGTGAATAAATAAATCGATAATTTGGAAAATATATTGTCTTTATTTTTCACTGGGATTAAACGAACTCTTCGTCGAAAGGGACAGTTATAACATTGGTGTCGGAAGTGGGATCTTCGGCGAAAAATAAGTGAGCATCGTTGTTGAAAATTTTGATTTTTTTTCGTCGACAAGTTATTTTGTATATAAATAAACATGATAAAACTATATCAACTTAAAGTGGTGCAACTCAAAAAAGAGTTACAAAAACGAAATCTTGCTACAAGTAGAAACAAAGGAGCATTGATAGCACGGCTATCGGAAGTCCTTGTTACTGAAAACAAGAATCCAGGTGGATTCGAGTTTGACGATCAGGATGTAGAATCGCATGCAGTTGTAAACGCTGGACAAAACCCAAATTCGAACGATATCATCAGAAATACAGTCAAATGAAATAAAACAACATTTTACAAAAATTGAAATAAAACAAACGAGAGATCAAACTGATGCCAAAATTGAACAACATTCATCTGAAAGAAAACAAACGAAAGATAAAAATGATGCCAAATTGAAAAGACGAGAGATCAAATTGATGCCAAAATCAAACAACAGTCAACAGCGATTGATGCTAAAATGATACAACAGTGGAGAGAACATAGAGAACAATTCGATACTTGTAGCTGAACAGCATTCGGCAGTAATCAATGTAAAAATAGAAAACGACACGTCAAAAATTGAGCAAAAATTTGATCAAAAGGTTATCGAGCTCAAACAGAAGTTATTTTGCGAAGTGGATAAACTTAAACAAAAACTGGAAGAAACTAAAAAGATAAACTCCACACCTGTAAGCCACGTTACTTCGACGACAATGAAAGACATCACGAAGCGGCGTGATGGTCTAATAATTAAGGTTGCCTGGTGCTGTATTGCAGTAACCGGGTTCGAATATGACAAAAAGATCCCTGCCTGTCACATGCTTCGTGTGTGATGCGTCGTTTAGCATCTATTTATATATGATGTTTGTGCGCTCTGTTGAAGCCTCTGAACTTTGGAAGAGTGTAATTGACCTTTAACCTTTTAACCTTTAAAGAGCCAGCATTCGACGGAGAAACTTCTTGGAACATTCATAAAACCTACTTAGAAATAGCAACAATGAATTATGGCTGAGAGAGAGGGTCAGCGGCAGAAGTTCTTCAAACGATTCCAGTCGAGAACCATTCGAACTATGAAGTCCTGGTTAATGTGTTGAATTTACGTTACAGTGAAGAGCACTTAAAGCAAATATATTGGTCCCAGTTACGAAACCGGACGCAGCGACCTGGCGTGTCGATACAACAGCCGGCACAGGATATTGAACGGTTGGACTCTGCTGTCATACCCTACATACGACCAACAACACAGAGAAAAAAACTGCATTAGAAACGTTTGTAAAGGCTGTTCGAAATTCAGATTTTAAACAAACCCTCATACAAGCAAACAAACGCAACCTCAAGAAGTCCATTCATTGTCTAGAGACTTACATTTGAGTCAGCAATGCAAGCATCAAAGACTGACATAAACTAAAACAAAAGGGTCAAGATTATGGTGCGCCAAAGTGCTGGAATTGTGAGAAAAAGGACATCTACGACAAGATTGTAAACAACGCCCTAAAAACAATTACTGTCGTCATTGTGCAGCAACATGACACAAACGGTTAGATGGTTACCCCACGTCACGACCGACTGCCTCAAACAAGAAGGCGGGAAACTAATAAAAACCAATGTTGCATAGCAGAAGTTGATTGGTAGAATTGACGCCTACAGTACCGTGATTAAAGTTTTTAAACTGCCTCAAAGTCAATACGACCTTTGATTGGATGGCAAAGTTGGTTCACAAGAATTTTTAACTACTATCTACACCGAAGTAACGAGGTCAAGATTAAATCTGATCTGGTACCCAACCTAAAAAGATAAAATTTTTATGAACACATTCTTTGAACAGCTACAGGAGGAACAGGCCTGTCTACGTAAAAATTTCTTATACTGTTTAATTAGGCGATTTGGTAGTCGAATGCATAATAAGCGTTGTTTTATTAACAAAACATAGTTTTAAAAGTGATTTAGAAAAACGAGTCCTTAGATGGAGAAAAACGGAGATAGTAATGGAAGCCAGCAATGTGTAATGTAATTGTACAATGATCGACAGTGATACTGATGTACCTAAATCAACAGAAGACATCATATGGGCAAAAATAATTGACGATACTGGAGACTCAAAGCTGAACGTTATAAAGGGCAAATGGTTTGCAAAAGAAATGAATTACTTTGGACATGTCATATCTTTCAATAGAATGAAGACAGATCCAAGTAAAGTAGAAGTGGTAAAAAAATTAGCCAACTCCAAAAAATAAAAATGATTTGCGCAGTTTTCTTGGATTAGCTACATATTAATTATTTCATTTTATTTATTTATTTTATTTTAAAGCATGGACACAAGCCCTTTGCTCTAACTAAAAAAATATACCATTATGTAAAAAACGATTTCAGAAATAAAACAACTAGATTACAACAGAATATAACAATGTGGAAAGAACGATTTCAAAGTAAAACAACTAGGATATATATAATATTGAGATAAAAATTATTTTTCACTTTTTCACCGACGCAAAATAACTGAACAAGTTCTAAACTTTTAACCAAAAAAGAGTATTCAAACTACAAAATGTTCAATTCAATAAATTTCTAATTTAACAACTAAAATAACATTGGCCAAATCAGCGAGCAAAAAACCAACGATAAGGAAACTCCAACAAGTTATTTATCCATTCATGAAAATGTTTTATGTTACGTACATATATATAATCAAGTTGTTATAAATTTTCCATCACCGTAAAATCATCTAATTTAATTTTAAAAATCATCACAGATGAAGTATCCAAAACATCAACCGGTAGTGCATTACAGGGGTTTACGACACAATTTGAAAAAAAATACTTTTTGCAATCTTTTCTCGCAAGACGAGTTTGTAACTAAACTGATGACCTCTGGTGCCAGTCTCCGCACGGCGATTTAACAGTGGGCAAATTGAAGGATCCAACAGATTATGAAAAATTTGATAAGTTAAAATTAAGTCACATCTGTTACGTCTCTATTCTAATGATGGTAGATCTAATTTTGTTAATCTAGAAATATAATCTAAGTTTTGAAATGATTTTGGAATTCTGGTAGCTCTTCTCTGAACTTTTTCCAATTCTAGAGAGACTTTTTCTGTAAGGGCACCAAATGTGGACAGCAAATTCCAAACATGATCTTAACAAAGATTTATAAAAACATATAAACGCATCATTCGACAGGCCACTGAAGTTTCTGAATAAAATTCCTAAAATACGATTAAATTTTTTATTCTGTGTCATAAATAACGTGGGCTCTTTAAAATTAAATTAATTATCTACGACCACCCTGAGATCACCTATGCTCTTTACTCTTGGCAAGATATGAGCACCCCATTCGAATCAGCAATTTCATAGATTGTCGGAAAACATTTGCTAATCGATAACATATTACCGACGTTTTGTAAAGGATTTTGCAAAAGTTGCAAGACCACTACATCAACTCATAGAAAATGATCGAGCGTTTAATTGGAATGTGTGAAGCAGCTTTGAAATAACTAAAATGAGAATCATGTGAAGCCTCTTGTTAGCATATCTAATCCGAGGCAAACCATTTGTGCTAGGTACGGATGCAAGCAACTGTGGAATTAAAGCCGTTTTGTCACAAATTTTTAACGAAGAAAAAAAGGTTTTGACCTATTACAGCAAAAGTCTTAAAAACCGGAAGAGTCGCTAGCAATGGTCATGGCAACAAAACCTTTCCACAAGTACTCGTACAAAAATTTCTTTTTCGAACGGATCAGGCAGCGTTAAAGTGGTTGCTCTATTTCAAAGATCCAGAAAGACAAGTGGCACGATGGTTGGAACGATTACAATTGTACGACTTTGAAATTATGCATCGTAGAGGAACCTTAATAATGAAAATGAACTTTCTAAGGAAGATGTTTCTCCCATTGTAAACAACATTAATCAATTATTAGAAGCAATTATAAAAAGGGTAGTTTGAGTCACTATGCATCATTGTTGGAACTTGTAAAAGCTTAATTAAAGCTCACCTTAGATAAAAAACGAGACAGAAAATATTTTAACAAACTGCTTACAGTTTTATTTTTGTGGCAAATGACACCATACACTCCACGGAGCTTTAAAAGAACTGTTTATTCTTCTCAGTGTTTGTTGCATTCCACAGTTGTTTTCAATTTTTGTGGAAAATGTTGAAGGTTTTAACTAATCACACTTAGAAGCAAGGTTGAAAGCACCCTCTGAGACAGAAAAATTTGTTATGTTGATATGTGACCAAATTTACAGAGCAAAGCGACTGGAGTGGTTTGACAGAAAATGTAAACATTGCAAAAAGTGTTTTAAAGAAATATGTCACTCTGTTGGCTGTTTCCATACACAATTTATCAATAAATAGATAAGTACATTTAGCCAGTAATATTATAAGAAATTTAGTTTAAAAACATTTTTCTAAAAGTTTAATGATTTTTCACTTTTAGTCGTTAAATAATTTTATTGAAATGCTCCATATTACAGAGTTTCTATTCTGAACTTTGTGGTGGAAAGCTAGAAATATGGTAAATGGCCAGCAAACATTTCTTTTTTCGATATAACTCATAATTTCAAAAACATCTTCAACAACTGGATCAATATCCGATACTGAAAAAAAAGCCCTTGAAAGTTGCTCACAATCTGACAATGGTCAATCTCAGATCAAACAACATCCAAAGAAATTCTCCTGTTCATGCTAAAAATAAAGCTAATAATTGAAATAGATGTATATAATAGCAATTTCTTAAATTTATAAATAATATACAATTTGCAGGTATTTTTTATGAAATCAACCGTGGCTGGACTGAAAGTGTATAATGAAAAAGGATGGAATGATACTGTCATGGCTCCTCTTTGTGTATTGCATTGTAAGACGTCTTGATATTGAAGTGGTCGTAACACCAATATACGTATGTTGTTGACGCACAGTCGTCAATAGGGCATTTAAATTAATATGTTACATGATTACGCTTCAAAGTAGAATCGTCTTTAGTATATTGGTGTTATGACCACTTCACAATCAAGACGTTTCACAATGCATACACAAAGAGGAGCCATCAAATCTCACTTGCAATCAACATATGCAACTATGCAAATATGCAATAATTTATTAAAACACTAACACAATACATCTAAAAATTGCAGAAACTGTCCTAATAGATATCAATAAACCTCAAATAAACATCCAACAAAGAACAAAGAATTATAACACCATTACCAACTCGACGTATTAATACTAATTTCAAGAGCAATGAAGAACAAAGGAATGACAACAACAAAGATAAAGAATACGATACCAGCCAATAAACTTTGCTGCAGAGCTTTACATTGTTTAAAGAAACTGTATAAAACCAAACACGCACTGAAGATATTTATGTAAAATCGAGAATAAGGCCTTATCTGCATGATGAATTCGGATAAAAACAGTTTCATTAAATTTTCATGATGAACATGGATAATTTTATTTTCAACAAATTGAACCATTTTTAAAAAATTCTAGTAAGAAAAATTGAAAAGACAAACTTTAAATTGATTAATGCCAACAATACGGTAAAATTCATACAATACTGTATATATATATATATATATATATATATTATCCAAAGATAATAATATATATATATATATACATATATATATATCATCGAAGCCTATGTGAAAGTGAATATTGTAAGCATATATATATATATATATATATATATATATATATATATATATATATATATATATATATATATGTTATATATATATATAACATATATATATATATATATATATATTTACAATATTCTATAAATTCTACCGAATGTTTGGTGTAAATATGTTTGTAGTTCGTTTTTTCGATTTTTCTCACTAAAGTTTTTTGGTGAACGTTTAGTTTATTAAAATTCAAAATAAACTTATTTTTCGAATTCATGCTGCAAATAAGGCCATATTTCGATTCCGAATGAATCATCAACAGTGCTCCTTGATGTATATATAGGGAAATATTGACTTTGTCAAGATGAACTTTGACGTTGTAAAAATTAACTTTGGTGTTGTAAAATTGAACTTTGATGCAAATAAGGTGTCAGGTTTTTTTATTGGCTGGTCATCTTCTTTGGTCTCCTTTTCTTCATTGATAGCATCATACTTTTCTTTGTCACTATTACGATGCTA